ATCGGATACAGGTCGCATTACGTCAAAAAAATCGGAATTGAGTCACTTCAGGCTGCAGTGTGAACGCACCCTTTGTGTGTCTGATGAGAACGCATTTGTAAAAACGTGAAAAAATGTGAACTTCGCTGAAACACATGTGCACTGGGTGGTGCGGAGCCGCGAGGAGAAGCAGGAAGAACCACATCTGATGGGGAAACATGGTTCGAGAGGGGATTCCCCACTGGGGACATGTCCACACCAGTCCTTCAGGAAGTTAAGCCTTCAGTGCATATGCAATGAATATCAATGCAGTTAAATTTGATTTAATGGTTTAGTTAATTTAGTTCAGTTCTCTTACATCATTTACGTCTTGGGCCAATTCTAAATGTGATCAGCTTTACTTTGTGCTTTTAGATCCACTAACTGATGATTTGATTTGGATTCAACAAAAATGCAAATAATTGATATTTACAGTATTTTAGTTGTATTTTTTTGATTTGTTGTTTAAGAGTCTATAGTTGTGGGTTTAAGTATTGTTAGCAATGTCTTCCAGTTACATAATTACCCAGCAATATTTTACATTTCCTGTCAACATTTTTTAATACAAAAACACAATGTTGTCTCCATGCCACGACCACCAGCCTTAGTAAGGTTTCTGGGGAAAACCCTACACCATCATTATATTTTCATTATGGTGTTGCTGACTTATTCTGCATGTGGGTTAAACAACTCCCTACGAAAATGACATTTAGGATGTGTAATGCGTAATGCAGTGACATTATTGTTATTCACTGCATACACAAATTGTGTGTGGAAAATGTTTTTAAAAACTACGGAAAGACAGGAAAAACTTTGGGTTTCAAATGAGCAAGAATATCCTAGAAGGAGAGCAACTTGCTGAAACTTGTCAAAGAGAAGGCTAGAAGGAAAGATCTCTGAGGGTAACCTTGCCTTCAAACAACAGCTCTTTAAGAACTTCATTATTTTCAGTCAGAAATGACAGTACAGCCTGGTTAAAGTTCCAGTCTCCTGAGCCATGGACCATGTCTTGCTGTTTCACTGGTCTTAAAGCCTGGACCCAATGACTCGGACAGTCTTGCCAAGGCAGATTAGAGGTAAGCAGTGGTTAATTTCACAGAAGCAAACAATTCCAGATATATTTGATTATATTTTTAAGAAGGGTATACATTTTCAGTCTTTGTTGATATTGTAGAAAACCCTGTCAGTGTTGTAGCTACTATGATGACTGATTGAGAAGATGCATGTGTGTAAGGATGAGACAAACATTTAAGCGAATGTTGAGTTTACGTGATGTTCATGAAGTGCATCATTCTAACTTTTGCTTTGTATCTGCTTTCCAACTGTAGAGAGGATCTTGTAGTGAACACTTGATTGACAACATATAAGACTCAAGCTCATAAGTGGTAACTTTGAAGGCCATGTCCATGTTGCACACCGTCCTCAGTAAAGTCTGGACTCATTACTCTTGGACAAGACACATGTCACATGTCACATGTCCTTTTGTCACATGTATTAATTCTGACCTTGGTCTATCCCTCATGTGGACACATGCTGTGTTTTTTTTTTCCAGATCTCAGTAATACTGTCATGAACGGTGTAGTTGATGGTGAGGAGATGAACGCAGAGACCCAGGTATGATGGTGATAATAAAGGTTTTAATAGTGACAATAATCCACAAGCAACAGTCCAGGACAGGCAGCACGGGAAAGAACTAGAGCACACAGCTAGTTACCGGTAGCACTGTCACGAAGTCTGATGCGGAGCTTAGTTGGCCAGGACTTAGCAGTACAACTGGCCAACTAGACAAACTGAGACAATAGACAAAGACAACGACAAGGACCCGACGAGGAACACAGACAACTGGTGGGTTTAAATACACACGGGGTAATTAAGGGAATGAGACACACCTGGGGAGCAATCAACGGGGAGGACAGGACAGAGACTCACAGGGAAACAGGAAAACATCGAAAACTCAAAACGCACAGAAAACCACGGATCATGACAAATACTTTGTGAGAATACTGGACAGGAAATTTGTTAGGTTCTGTGTTTTGAGTTCGAGTTTCTGTCTGTCTAGTCCTGTTTTCCCCTGAGTCTCTGTGTTGTCTTGATTGATCCCAGCTGTGTGTCGTTCCTGTGATTACCCTCCCAGTGTATTTAGTCCCACCTGTTGTCAGTGTTCCTGGTCGGGTCTCCGTCTTAGTCTGTTAGTTGCTGCTCCCCGTGCTACCAGTGTTTATGTTCCTGTTTCTTTATTATTAAACTTCATTCCTCATCATGACTACCTGGGTTCCCCGGCGTCTCTCTCACCGTTCACAACCACACATCCTGACAAAATTGAATTAGTTCTGTTTTTCACAGAATGTTTAAATGGAAATTGTTTCTTAAAATGTACAAATCGTAATCTATTCTTTAAACCTCTATTATTATTATTATTATTGTTATTGTTATAACAAATGAACAAAAATTATCTTTAACCAAAAATTGTCAAACAGTTTATGTAACTGTGTGACTGCTTTTTTATGTACATGTATGAGCTCATTTCTTCTACTTTCATGAAATTTGGAGGTCAAGTGACAGTATACAGCAGTGGTCCCCAAAGTGGGTCCTCGAGGGCCAGCATCCTGTATGTTTTAGTTTTCTCCCTGCTGATAGTAACAACCTTGTCAGCATGTCAATGTTCTTCTTAGGCCTGGATCATTTGATCCAGGTGTGTTAAACCAGGGAGAGAACTAAAACATGCAGGATGCCGGCCCTCGAGGACCCCCTCTGGGGACCACTGGTATACAGTATATCTTATATATTGTGACTGGATTTGTTTGATTGTAATGATATTTTTCCCTTGAGATACCAGGTATGCAATCATGATTTTTATTTTTGTCTAATTACATAATTTTTTACAAATTAAGTCAGATCTGGTCTGACTTAATTTGACCACAACTGTAGAGAGGATCTTGTAGTGAACACTTGATTGACAACATATAAGTCTCAAGCTCATAAGTGGTAACTTTGAAGGCCATGTCCATGTTGCACACCCTCCTCAGTAAAGTCTGGACTCATTAGTCTTGGTCAAGACTGAGTCCTTGACTCAGTCAAGACTACCAATTTCAAAAATTGGGATTTTTTAATTTGGTATTTAAAAAATACCAATTTTTAAATAATTGGTATTTAAAAAAGTTGCCTTTTTTAAATACCAATTATGCTTTGACTCTTACTTGAGTGATTTCTTTTTATTTACATTTTAGTTCTGTTAAGATTACAACTGAAAACTGATGGTGATGGTGTCCTGTCTGTTCTACATCTTTGTGTAATGGAATGGAATGCATTAAACTTATTCATCTATGAGAGGATACATGTCAGTGTTCTGATACTCACTATCAGAACATTGACTGAATCCTGGAACATTGCTTTCAACGAAAACCTGAGGAAATATGGATGTTTTGTGTTATGTGGGAATTCACCAAGAGAAACAAATGTGTAAAGCAATCCTTTGTATTCCTACAATTGTTTCTCGCACATCTTAAATGATAGTCACTTGATTTACCCTGAGTGTAAGAACCCTAGACTTAAAGTTAACTGTGTTAACTTTAAAGTTTCATGTGTGGTGTAAATCAGAGCTTTGTACTTACATCATCCCCAGGCCATGGCTGGAAATCATACTCTGTATTTGAACTCAAATCCTGTCTCATCACCCAAACTGGTTCCTTTGGTTCGTCTGGTGTATAAGGGGATCTTATAGTTCTTGTCTTCACCTCTTCAATAGCCTCCCTAATGTCCTTAATGACCAAAGAGATAGCATCTGCCTTCTCCTGGCTATTCTTCATTGATAAAGTCTCAGTCACAGAACAATTCAGAACCTGGTGTGTGACTGAGTCCTCCCGGTTTGCGGCTTCGCAGTTTTTGTTTGAACTGATTTGAGTTGTAGGTTCAGAATGATCTTTTAGGGACAGTTTTTTAGCTTTTCCTTTGCTTCCAAGATTTGGAGGGCCTAGACTTTGGTTGACCTCAGTTACAGATTGTTCATTGTCCTCATCCAGTTCACAGCTATCAGTGCTTTGGTACTGGGCAAACTCTGCATCCTTTTCTGGGCTGTCTGACTCACCATCTGAGCGCTGGGTATAGTGACGCAATCTTGAGCCAACAGCCTCCTTCAGATGGTGATGCCTATCTCTCTCTTTACTTTGCAATTGCTGAATGCTGATTTTTCTCTGATTTAGAGACTGTTTTTCATTTGAAAAAGATGGAAAAAGTGAACCTGGAACATCACAGATTTCTTCATAAACTTGGTCAGAGAATGAATAGATCTCATACAAATCAGTATATACATTTTCTGAGTTTTCACAGGCTGCACAAATAGCTTGGCCTGCAGAGTAGCTAACTGGTTTGGAATAGACATTGCTGGTGTAGTCAGAATTCAGCATCTCATCTGTTTCATTTGGTCTTTCAGGATCTTGACTGTCTTGCATGGGATTGCATGTCAGAGGCAGAAATTGAGAGGGGGTGTCATTAGGTGGATAAGGATGTTGCGGTTCAGCCATAGCACTTTCTCTGTTTCCTTTCTTTCTATATTGTTCTTGGGGGACATTGGTCCTCACCTGGTCTTTTAACAGTGATTGTTCCTCATTTACTGGCATTAACCCCCGACCACTATTTGTCTGCTGTGTATAGGGAGATCTCTCTGCCTCTCCCTGTTTCCACAATGTTTGCCTCTCCCACTTATCTTTCATCTGGGCTTTACTCCCTGCTGATTTGGTGACAGGATAAGTCATCTGTGATTGAGGAGTTTGGAGGTCCATGTCTACCTTCTGTGGTCTGCACTGATCAGGAACCCTAAGTCTTCCACCATTACTTTCTGCAGTTGAGGTTTCATAGCATCTAATGCATTTCTCTTGGTTGCCCAGGGTACAGTATTGGCCATTTTGGCACATGTTCTGATGACAAAATCCGGTGTCCATGTCTTCCATTGTTCCCTCGTCAAGTTTTGATTTCTGGTGGGTTTTTGGTATCTGGTGGACTTAATGGTGTGGAAAAAAACTCTCACCACACAACCCAAAGACATCTGGAAAAAAAACTGAAAAGAGAAAGGAGAACACATTTTCAGATACAACATAATCCTATGTTGTATCCTATGTCCTATAAAATCCTATTTGATTTTATAGGACATTCAATATCCACTGCATGCCCTGCTGCACCTCTTACAACAGTTGTATACCTTTGAATTCTGAAATAATCAACAAACATCCCGACCAGCATAACAAATGACTCTGACTAACTTGTGCAGAATAGAGAAACATCTAGCTGAACACAAGTTGATGATTTGTGGATTAAGGGGAGATTGAATATTTCATGATCTGTTTCTGAACACAACATAGCCTGGCTATGTTTGGACTGATTTTAGATCACATGAATAAATGTCAACTTCCTGTTTTAGTCAAAAAATGGGAAAATCAATTGACTGAGCGACATTTTAATGTCTGACTTGAGCCAGCCTGGTGCATCTTCATATTTGAAGTATTTGTTACGATTTAGAAATAGAAGTGCCAGGGGTGGCACAACCTGCATGGTGGTGCAGGGGTAAAGCACAACCCATGTAAGGAGGCCTTAGTCCTCGACGCAGCTGTTGCAGGTTTGAGTTAAATTACTTTTGCCACATGTCTTGCCCCCAGGGCTGGCCCAATCCTCCATGGGGCCCTAAGCAAAATTTGATTTAGAACTAGAGAGTTCTGCTAACAATGTGGACTGGCTGCAATAGGGTCCTCTTCTGCTCTGCAGTGAGAGGTTTGACTGTCAGACCAGCCCACCAGGTCAGGTCTGCATGTTTACAGTTAACAATATTCACACCATTGTTGCCAACTCACTGACTGTTTTGCTATATTTAGCAACATTTGAGACAAAAAAATTCATATCAACCAAAATCAAAATAGGCGGGTCAGGCTTTTTAAAGATCGGTAACCAGGGATCGACCAGAAAACTGCAATCGGTGCAGCCCTACACACATATTCGTGACATTCTACGATTAAACATATTTCTCTTAAGTCTTACTCCAATAGCTAAAAATGTACAAACCGGATTCCAAAAAAGTTGGGACACTAAACAAATTGTGAATAAAAACTGAATGCAATGATGTGGAGGTGCCAATCTAATATTTTATTCGTAATAGAACATAGATGGCAGATCAAAAGGTTAATCTGAGTAAATGTAAAATTTTAAATGAAAAATATGTTGATTCAAAAGTTCACAGTGTCTACAAATCCCAAAAAAGTTGGGACAAGTAGCAATAAGTGGCTGGAAAAAGGAAATTGAACGTAAAGCAAACAGCTGGAAGACCAATTAACACTAATTAGGTCAATTGACAACATGATTGGGTATAAAATGAGCTTCTTAGAGTGTCAGTGTCTCTCTGAAGCCAAGATGGTAAGAGGATCACCAATTCCACCATTGTTGTGCAGAAAGATAGTAGAGCAATACCAGAATGGTGTTACCCAGCGTAAAATAGCAAAGACTTTTAAGTTATCATCATCAACCGTGCATAACATCATCAAAAGATTCAGAGAATTTGGCACAATGGCTGTGCGTAAGGGTCAAGGCCGTAAAACTCTACTGGATGATCTCCGGGCCCTTAAAAGTCACTGCACCTCAAACAGGAATGCCACTGTCAAGGAAATAACAGCCTGGGCTCAGGAATACATCCAGAAAGCATCGCCAGTGAATACAATCCACCGTGCCATCCGCCGCTGCCAGCTGAAACTCTACAGTGCAAAGAGGAAGCCATTTCTAAGCTCCACAAGCTCAGCCGTTTGCACTGGGCAAAATGGACGACTGTTCTGTGGTCAGATGAGTCACGATTTGAAGTTCTTTATGGAAGACTGGGACGCCATGTCATCCGGACCAGAGAGGACAAGGATAACCCAAGTTATCAACGCTCCGTTCAGAAGCTGCATCACTGATGGTCTGGGGTTGCATGTGAGCTGGTGGCCTGGGCAGCTTGCATGTCTGGAAAGGCACCGTTAATGCAGAGAGCTATGTTCAGGTTCTAGAACAACATATGCTCCCATCTAGACGTCATCTCTTTCAGGGAAGACCCTGCATTTTTCAACAAGATGATGCCAGACCACATTCTGCAGCAATCACAACATCATGGCTACGTAGGAGAAGGATCCGGGTACTGACATGTCCAGCCTGCAGTCCAGATCTTCCACCTATAGAGAACATTTGGTGCATCATAAAGTGGAAGGTGCAACAAAGAAGGCCCAAGACGATTGAACAGTTAGAGGCCTGTATCAGACATGAATGGGAGAGCATTCCTATTTCTAAACTTGAGAAACTGGTCTCCTCTGTCCCCAGATGTCTGAGTGTTGTAAGAAGAAGGGAGATGCCAAACAGTGGTAAAAATGTTCTTGTCCCAACTTTTTTGGGATTTGTTGACGTCATGAAATTTTGAAACGACATATTTTCCCCTTAAAATGATACGTTCTCTCAGTTTAAACTTTTGATCTGTGATTTGTGTTCTATTGTGAATAAAATATTAGATGTTGGGACCTCCACATCATTGCATTCAGTTTTTATACACAACTTTCCCAACTTTTTTAGAATCCGGTTTGTAATTTATACCAGGTGAGTCTTTCTCTCCTGAGAAATGATTTTAACAGAAGTTTCACATAACTTAGAAAAATAATGTATGTTTTAGCCACAAAATGATTATGCTCAGCAGCAAACATACCCACAACTACAGCATAGAGCAGCAGCTCATCGATGTAGCAGCTATGTAGCCTGACGTAAAAACATTTTGCTAGACAATGTCAAACATTGAGACGTTTTAATTATTGTTATCAAACGTTATCAAACACGGCGTTTTGAAGCCAAAAATACCTCAGAAATATACAGAGCCAACCATGAGAATCAACTAATTTAAAGTTTAAACTCAGTTTCACACAAACACAAAGACGCTAGCATAAATGTTTGGCTGTTGAACTGGACCGTTCACGCTAATTTTCTATTAGCAGCTTTACAAATCTTTTACATTACATTACATTACCAAGGCATGGCAGCTCAAATTACCGGCGAAGCATGCGGTACCTACCGCGGCCACCCGGAGGCCCCAAGAGCAATTTCTTTTTCTTTTTATCCATAAAATAATGATTTCTACATACATTATCAGATATATATTATTGTAAAAATAAATCACTTCGTGGTGAAATTGTGTGTTTTTGATATAATGACATAAAAATTATTACAAAAACTAAAGCAGCTCCTCTGAGGGGGCCTCTTTGTTGCTCCGTCTGTTGGTTTCCTTATGCCTTGGGCCGGCCGTTCTCCCCACTCTTTCATTACCCACTTTTCTGCGTGATCATTTCAAATAAATCCCACTAGAGCCAACACAAACTCTTAAAAAAAGAAATAGAAGTGCCAGAATTTACTTATATAGAAGCAAGATCAAGTGAAATTGTGTCAAATTAAAGAAGGTGCTAGAAAACTGGGGGCACGACCCAAAAAAAAAAAAAAAAAATATATATATATATATATATATATAT